GTTCCCGTCGTCTTCCGTCTCAGATTCGGCTACTCAGGTGTGTTGTTTGATCTTTCTCGAGTTGGGTTTGTCTCAAGTGACACTGAAAGCTATCCATGTTCTCTAATGATTGATTCTTAAGCATAATTAGAAGCAAGTAGCAGATAATTTTTAAGTTATTTGCTAACCCAATATAGAAAGAGATTAAGTTTGGAGATTGATTTCTAATCTATGAAAGAATGTTATCCAGACAAGCGACTATGAACTGTCTGATGAGATTTGAATGTGTTTTTGTTGCAGTTTTGTAGTGCAGGGAGAGAGTATGGTGTGGAATCTTGTGGGGTTCCATCTTCTTCTTCATCGACGAGGATTTTAATCAAAGGAGGTACAGTTGTGAATGCACACCATCAACAAATTGCTGATGTCTATGTGGAAGATGGTATTATTGTCGCTGTGCAGCCATACATTAAGGTATAACTATTCTCCCTTGTACTGTATCCTTTATTCTTTTCGTTGTCTAAATCCCAATTTGATCTGCTTGAGGTTTTTTGTTGTTGCTCTGTACCAGGTTGGGGATGAAGTCACTGTACTCGATGCTACTGGAAAATATGTCATGCCAGGTTATTAATCATTTGATAGTAGTTGATACTTTCTGAATGTTAGGGATTTTCTCTATAGTTGTATAGTTTCCACTCTGAATAATTTCTGTTAAATAAGCAAACGATCAGTATCTCCACAGTTATATTTCTGATAACTGCATAAGTATGTTTGTATAAATTGGTTGGCCTTGCAACTTTCTCTCTAAAATATTTTGCTTACAGGAGGAATCGACCCCCACACGCATCTCGCCATGGAATTTATGGGTACCGAGACTATTGATGATTTCTTCAGTGGTCAGGCAGCAGCATTAGCTGGTGGGACAACTATGCATATAGACTTTGTTATACCGGTTAATGGAAATCTGGTGGCTGGTTTTGAAGCCTATGAAAACAAATCCAGAAACTCGTGCATGGATTACGGTTTTCATATGGCAATCACAAAGTGGGATGATGGTGTTTCCGAGGACATGGAGAAAATGGTCAAGGAAAAGGGTAAATGTCTTCTTGATGCCTCACAATTTTGGTGTGTTTTTTTAATCCCTTATAGTGTTCCTGTTAAGATGAAACTAAGTGCAGTTTTCTCTAAACTTTATAGGTATCAACTCTTTCAAATTCTTCATGGCATATAAAGGATCTCTTATGGTCACTGATGATCTCCTCCTGGAAGGCCTTAAAAGATGTAAATCTCTTGGTGCATTGGCGATGGTTCATGCTGAAAATGGAGATGCAGTGTTCGAAGGACAGAAAAAAATGATTGAATTAGGTATTACAGGTCCAGAGGGTCATGCTCTTTCAAGGCCTCCTGTGGTAATTTAATCTAGTATATTCCATTTTTAATACAGCCTCATAGATTTGTCTCTTCTCCTATATCTGTCCTTGCCTCTATAACCTTTGGTTCAAGCTAAAATTAAGATAATTGTTTGACAATGGCAGCTTGAGGGGGAAGCCACTTCTCGGGCAATTCGTTTGGCTCGGTTTGTTAACACGCCTCTCTATGTTGTTCATGTGATGAGTGTCGATGCAATGGACGAGATTGCTAAAGCTCGAAAATCAGGTCTTTTGTTACCACTCCTCTAGGACTAAGTTTATCTATTTATTTGTCTCATTGTATGGAAATTATTCTGATAATAATCAGTCTCTTATCCTAACAATCATCAGTATAGTAACAAATGGGTTGATTTTCCATAGTCCCTTTCAAAATATTTGCATAGTATTTAGCTTGATATATAAATATACCTTTCTGTTATGTATTTCAGGGCAGAAGGTTATTGGAGAGCCTGTTGTGTCTGGATTAATCCTCGATGATCATTGGCTTTGGGATCCTGACTTCACAATTGCCTCCCAGTAAGAAGTCTTTCTGGTGTGCTAATCAAATGTTTCCAATTAATTATTCCTTCAGATTTTCAAAAACAAATTCTCAATATTTCAGGTATGTCATGAGTCCACCTATTAGAGCAGCAGGACATGGGAAAGCCCTACAAGATGCACTCTCTACAGGAATCCTTCAGGTTTTTTTCCTCACTATGCGTAAAGTAGAGAAAACATGACCTATAGCATAAAACTGTTGAGATCTTTTCTTGGTATCATTATCTCTGCAGCTTGTAGGAACTGATCACTGCACTTTCAATTCTACACAAAAAGCTCTCGGAGTTGATGATTTCCGCAAAATACCTAATGGTGTTAATGGTAATAGCTGTATTGACTGGTTTCTTGCTTTATGTGCTCGTTGTCCTTGTTACTCTACTAATTTATTGTAATTTGTGAATACTTTAAACTTTTCCGTATTAAGGCCTTGAGGAACGGATGCACTTGATATGGGACACGATGGTGGTAAGTATTATGGACTAAAATCTTCTTTCTTTACAGAAGTTTTACAGTTTTCTGTTTAACATAATCCAGGGGTCTGGCCAAATCTCTGCGACTGATTTTGTTCGAATAACCAGCACCGAGTGGTAAGTATGTTCTTTCATTGATTCTTTTCGAAATATGCTCTCTTATTTTACCAATATCTGCAAGTAGTAAATTCATTATTGACTAAGAGCATTTGAAATGATTTTTCAGTGCTAGGATTTTCAACATATATCCACGGAAAGGAGCTATACTTCCTGGTTCGGATGCAGACATTATCATATTGAATCCAAACTCAAGCTACGAGATTAGCTCAAAGTCTCATCATTCCAGATCCGACACAAATGTCTACGAAGGAAGAAGAGGAAAGGTAATAAGCAGTGTTACTAAGCCTCTCTTGACTAATAACCTCTTTGTTTCTTTGGGGACTTCAAATTGTTAAATCTCAGGGAAAAGTTGAAGTGACTATAGCGCGAGGACAAATTGTATGGGAAAATGAGGAGCTTAAAGTTGTTCCAGGAAGTGGCAAGTATATAGAGATGCCTCCTTTCAGTTACCTTTTCGACGGGATAGAGAAATCAGATGCTAATTATCTATCTTCTCTTCGAGCTCCAGTTAAGCGTGCCAAATCTGAAGCTACATAAACTGTAGGTATTTACATACATTTTGTTGTCTCATCATTTGATTCTATAAGAATGTTTGTACATAAGATTGTTTTTATAAAAAAATATTGAAAGAGCGATTTTATGAATAATGTTCATGTAGTTTGGATTCGACAATTCAAAATGTAATGTAATAGTATGTAAAAGTTTGTTTTGAGTTAAGTTTGGTCTCTGTTCTTTATCTCACAAATGACATGTGAAGCTTCTGAGTGTCTCAATTTGAAGGCCTGGAATAGTAAATTATGCAAGTCAAAGTGCAAGTTAATCAAAATTAGGAGTAGAAGCAAAATAGTAAATTATGTAAGTCAAAGTGCAAGTTAATCAAAATTAGGAGTAAAAGCAAAGTTTAACATTATGGTTTACATCAGTAATCACACAATGTTGCTTTCAAACCCGATCCAAATATCGGTTTGGTACGTTAATTTCGTTTAATGGTTTACATCAATAAATCATATAAAATGTTGCTATCAAACCCGATACAAATATGGGTGTGGTAGGTCAATTTGGTTTAATGGTTTACATCAATAAATTAAATCCCCATGCGGAAAGACGGTATTACCCTTCCTTCTCCCATATATACGCATCTATCCATCGAAATTGGACTAGAATTTTCTTTTTCCGATAAAAGAAGATTTTTTGTCGGCGACGGTAACCAAATCTCCGGCTAAAGAAGGAGAGGAAGAACAGAAGCTATGACGACAATCACTCTTCGCAAGGGAAACACCAGACTTCCACCGGAGGTGAATCGCGTTCTCTACGTTCGTAACCTTCCGTTCAACATAACGAGCGAGGAGATGTACGATATCTTCGGCAAGTACGGTGCGATTCGTCAGATTCGGATCGGTTGCAACAAGGACACAAAAGGTACGGCTTTCGTCGTTTACGAGGATATCTACGATGCGAAGAATGCCGTCGACCATCTCTCCGGCTTCAACGTCGCGAATCGGTACCTAATCGTGTTGTACTACCAGCACGCGAAGATGAGCAAGAAGTTCGATCAGAAGAAGAATGAAGAAGATATTGTCAAGCTGCAGGAGAAGTATGGAGTCTCTACCAAAGATAAGTAGTAACCCTGTCCTCGATTTCGATGTTCTCGATGGTCGTCTTGCGAATTAGGGTTTTTAATTTGGGGGAGATGTGAAACTCTTTATCTGTATGTGTTTCTTTGAATTTGGTTATATCGATCGAGCAATGAAAAATACCTCTTTTAATTCCAAATTTAGCTATTACTTTATGGGTTACTTGTTTTGAAGAAGGTCTTGGTCGATTTGGTTTTGGTTCACACTGCTTTTGCCATTGTTGATCTTGTGTTTTAGCTTTGTATCTTTTTCAGGATTGGTGTTTTGCTAGGAAGTTAAGAACAAATATCACTAACACATACAAAGAGAATTGAAAAAGAATTGAAGTACATTGAGAAACCCCATGGCAAGTTAAGCAAGTAGTAGACACAACTAGAAAAGAAAATGTACATAAATCAAACACCTCCCCCAAATTCCCCAGTTAATGATTTTTTTTTTTTTTCCCTCCTCCTTGATCCTTTTCCTCCCTTAAAGATATCCTCCAGTTCGATCATTAGCAATCCAAGCATAGATTAGAATAATTTTTTTCTTTGCTTTATCTTTCATTATGAAAAGGAAGATGAGTTTCTCGACTCGTGTGTTGCTGTCTTTCTATCTTCTCTCTTCCTCTACTTCAACAGTTTGTTCATTTAAATGAAAGTTCACGCCGCTTCTTTGGTATAGGATCCGGGTTTCCTTTTCTCATCATTGCCACAAACTCATCGTAGTTTATCCGGCCATCCTGCAAAGTTTTTTTAATCATTAGAAATTTAGTTAGTGGTAATGAGATTGTTAGCTGATGGATACATTTGTAGGAACTGTTGTTTCTTACATTGTCTCCATCAACCTCAGAAATGATCTCCTTAATGTCTCTGCCATCATTCATGCCGAACTCCCGGAGGGCTTGCTCCAGCTCTTCCATGGTGATATATCTGCGAAAGCCGCCAAGCATTATATGAGGTGAAGTTTTTGGTTCATAACAATCTTCATTGCTTCTTTCTGTTTTTGGTCATGATAAGCTTTAAGAATCAATTTAATAACAAACTGTTAAATGCTTACCCACTGTTGTCTTTGTCAAAGTGTTGGAAGGCTGAGTAAAGATGTTCTTCTCTGTCAAGTCTGTTAATATGCATTGTGGCTGCGATAAACTCACCGTAGTCTATTGTTCCATTACCATCAGCATCGGCCTGTAGAGTCCCATGATACGTAGAGCAAAAAGAACAAAAATTGTCAGTAGTGAGTCTCTTTTCCTGTTTCTTAGCATTTGACCAAAGCTAAAAACTTGTGTAAGTACAAAAGGGACTTACAGCTTCCATTAACTGCTGGACTTCATACTCTGACAACCTTGTACCTTGTTTAGCAAGCCCCTGTCGTAGCTCCTCGAGTGTAATTGTTCCACTGCTATCAGTGTCCATACCTTTAAACATCTCCTTCAGTCCCATGATCTCTTCCTCTGATAAGCAACCTGCTATCACCTGTTCAAGGGTTGCAGGTTTTTGAGGTTAAGATACTCTATTTAGAGCCATATTCCACTCACTCATATATTCTATTGGGCAAGGAATTGTTACCCGTAATGCTACTTTCTTGAAATTGTTCATTGCTTTGAATTGCTTGAGCCTGGACATCACTGCATTGTCAAGAGGAACGTCTGGTGCTTCTCCATCCTCCTTGATCCATGGATGGTCTTTACAAAAGGAAAAACAATAGAGAGAAAACATTAATTGGCATGGCGAGATTGTTATGCTTTTGAATTTTGGTGTGTTGTAGATGCTTACTGAGAACTTGAGCAGCAGTTAGTCTTTGCTTGGGATCAGAGTTGAGCATCTTCTTAACAAGATCCTTCGCCTGTGGAGAGATGGATGGCCATGGATCACTTGAGAAATCAACATGTCCTCTTAGGATTGCATTGAATATCCCGTTCTCCGACTCTGTGATCAGGTAATTACGCAACACATGAATATAAAAAGAAACATGGCTACATATGTGTTTGTAATCTTGTTTTTTCGGTAGACAGAAAGAAGAAGCAGGAATATCTTTACCAGCCCAGAATGGCGGGACACCACATAAGAGGATATACAACATGACACCGATGCTCCAAATATCAGCCTCTGGTCCATACTTCCTTTTCAAAACCTCTGGTGCAATGTAATAAGCACTCCCCACGATATCCTTGAACACCTCTCCTGTAACACAGAGGAAACAAATTTTCTATGAGTATAACCACGATTTCGTTTGATTTGTTTTGCAGGGTTTTACAATGATGCTGATTAGAAATTGCAGGAACCTGGCTTGTAGAAAACCGAAAGCCCAAAGTCGGTGGCTTTGAGAGGAGAATTCTCTTCTTTGTTGAGCAACAGAAAGTTCTCTGGCTTCAAATCCCTGTGAATTACCCCCATGGAATGGCAGGTATGCACAATCTGAACAATCGTTCTTAGCAACGAAGCAGCTGCTCTCTCCGAGTAATGCCCTTTAGCGATAATCCTATCGAACAACTCTCCACCTGCACAAAGCTCCATAACCAAATGCACAGAATGCTTATCCTCATAAGCTCCTTTGAGCTCCACAATGTTTGGCTGACCAGTCAGGTGATGCATAATCTGCACTTCCCTTCTTACATCCTCAATGTCTTCTTTGTTCACAAGCTTCCTTTTCGCAATCGTCTTACAAGCAAATTGCTGACCTGTCGCCTTCTGCGTGCAGAGATGCGTGACACCAAATTGGCCTCGGCCTAGCTCTTTGCCTAAAGAATATGAAGCTTTTACATCTTCCATTGGTCGACCTAAGACAGGTCCAATAGGGCCTTGTTTGGTTGCAGGAGGAGGAGAAGGAGGCGCGTGTTTGGAATGTGCTACAGAAGGTTCAGCGGTTGGACCAGTCGGATTTCCGGCATTTGAAGCAGTTGCTCCATTTTCGAATGCGGGTCCATCTCCGTTATCGGCTGAGTCCCGTCCGTGAGAGCAACAATTTCCCATTGTTGCATTAAAGGGTGGGGGAGAGGAAGGAGGTAAAAGCTCAAGGAAGAAGAGAAAATAGAAAG